ATCATAAAAAAAAATAAAAGCTTCAAAAAAATACATATGGTTACAAAATTTCAAAAATAATATATCTCATACAAATTAATTTTGTTAGAAATATTTTAAAAAAACAATGTTGGTCCACATATATAGTTTAAAGGAGAAATATATCTTAAATAATTTAGTAAAAAATACATGAATGACATATATCACACTATTTTATAAAAAAAATTTGAGGATTTAAAAAAAAAAATATTTGGTTTTTTGAAAATAAAAATTTGGAATATAATTTAATTTTTACCTTCAAATTCATATTATGTTTTGTAAATGTAAGACTTTTTTAGAAATTTTAGAATTTTTACCAATTTAATTTGGCTTTTAAAATTGGAAATTGAAACTGTAGTTTATTTGTTAACAAAAATTAATTATTCTTGTTTTAAAGAAAAACATAATTTTTTCTAGGAATTTTTTGGGATTTATTTCGATTTTTTAAATTTGTTTTGAAATTTTTAACAAAATTAGAGGGTAAAATCGAATTTTCCCAAAATTAGGGCATAATGAGACTTGTTTATGTGGTAGAAGGTGTATTGGGACAAAATGGAGTATAAATGGTGGTAATTTAGCAAATTTTTCTTAATAAAACTATATGTAAATTTAATTCTTATGAGCCTAGCACCCGAAGTCAATGAACAAAGGAGAAGTTTTTGTTCGTGTTAAGAAAATATTGTGTTGTTGGATAATAATACATATGACAAAAAAATCTGTCAAGCAATTAGCAATGAATCAGAGGTTGTTGCATCTTCTCTTGAAATGGCCGGTGTAACAACTGAGACTGCATAGTGGTAGCTTCGACTTTGAATCCTTGTACTTGTACGCTTTCTCGCAATTCGGCTTTACACATTTCTCACGTGGAGAAGGATAATTGAAGAACGATCCATACAGAAACACTGTTAAAAACCTCACCATTCCACATATATAGTTCAATATATGTCCTCAGATGTTTGGTTACTGTAACTAATCGGCTTGAAGATATTTGGAAGACTAATGTCTTCAGAAAATGTCATAAGTTGTTCCACTTGGACCAATAACCAATCTGACTGTGTTTGATTAGTGTGCTTGATCTTGCAGCTCTCTCCTGTGAAGAGGAAAGATTAGAACAGTAAGCGAGAGAGCGTGAGAATTTATAAGATGGTATCTGCAATCAAAGGTACTTGAGCTCGTTCTTCCTGTTGTTTTTTTAATCTTCTCCTCTCTTTACTTTCTCCCTGAATCTTATCCGAGTATTTTCCTGATAGCTTCAGCCTGGTGAAGAAGACCTTAGATCATCTGCATTCTGCTTGTGTTGGCATTATAAATAAACCGGAAAAATGTATTAACTTTATCTCCTGTTGAGATGTGGCCGTAATGATCAATTCAACACAAGAAGAAGAAGTGAAAGATTCTACTGGAAGTAGAGGGGTTTGATGATTAATGAGATTGTTCGGTTTAATCAGCTTGAGACCGGTTTGATTTGAGTTGGGTTGGAGCCGGTTAACTGCAACAAATCTTATCTTCTTCAAGATGAAGTTGCAGGTTGTTCTTGTTCGATATAACGGTGTTTTAAGCTGAGAGAGAGATGATTCAATCTTGATCGGARAAACAATTCAGTGTATCGGA